GCACTAGTGGTTCCTGATAAAGTAGGAAAACCAGATAACAACCATGCGATAAATGTCTAGCGAAAAACGCCAAAAATATTAAATTTCACAAGAAAGATAATACAGTATCTTTGCATTGGAATCGGTTTAAAATTTATGCAATGGACTTAGTACCACTCACTTTTGAAGATATGAGAAAAGCACAAATACATAGTGTTTCTAATGTGAGCATATGCCACGATATTGGCGAGCAACGAAATATCAAATATATACTTACATATAATGTATATGTATAACATCATAATATGGTAGCCGGGCAAGTATACCGTCAACTATACTACAGCAGCCTCACACAAAATGCCATTAATCGAAATCCTATAAATTGCTATAATAAAGAAGCAATTAAAATACAAAACTGTATATTGGTGCAAGGGATCGCAGTAGTCACCTGTGGGCTGAACATTTTTAAAAAGTGGATGTAGCTCCGCGCTTTTATGCCCAATATGCCGGTCAGTGCGTGAGTTGTTTTAATAAAATTTCGTAATATGTTCTTAAGTATACACGAGTAATGGCAAAAGTAACTGCAATCAATCCAGATCTTACTCTAGCCCTAATATTTGTATACGATGTAGTGATTTCCAACCATTTGGAACATTCCATCTGACTATAACCGTATACTTGTTGGTTTAAATGTATGATATTTATTGAAATTAGGTGGAGATGTTTTATGAACTCTTTTCAGATTTTAGTTTAAGCTCCCATTAATATTATATTGACTCCAGTTTCTCTAGTATAACTTTTCCTCATTATCCAATATAAATTTTTTAGTTTATTTGGTTGAGTTAATATAATATTACACATGTCTTATTCGATTTAATTAGGGTCTTCTTAATTTAAATATTTCGGACACTGAACAAAATGTAGTAATGAAACTAAAAGAGTCTACGACTTATAGTATACATAAGTTAACGTGACACCAAATTTGATTGTAATTCATTAATATTTTTCGAGTAATCCATATCGAATTCTTACGCAACATTTTTATACTCTCTCAACACCTAAAATGTATCGAATAGATATAAAGGTATATATATATATGAATGATCAGGCTGAGATGAGTTGAGTTCCGCGGGACTGTCTGTACATTCTTCTATCATTTGTGTAAGGGGCCGTCCATAAATTACGTCATCGATTTTTTCAGATTTTAGACCCCCCCTTATAATCATCCTATCGTCATTTCTTAAAGACACCGTCTTTACCGACTTTGACTTTACCGTCAATCTAATCCACGCTTTCACTTTACAGTATATGTACGTGTATGAATCAAGCACCAATAAACAAAGGGAACAAAATTGTGTACTATTGAATTCAAAGTACCATCTCTTACCTTAAAAATCGGATCATAAATTTTCAAGTCCAAGATTATGGTGGGCTCTTCGTTAATTCCTGAAAATATACCCCCGGCTTTGATCTCTTAAAATTGTGAGAGTATCAAATGCTCGGTTACAGCCGAATTAAGCCTTATTTACTTGCTTTAAAATAAGTTTAAGTGCTTTTTTTCTTTACGGCTTAAGGGGCGGGCTAACTGAACTGGCTTCGTTAGGCTTTTAGCTATAAAGCTTCATGAAAACCACTATTTATGAATAGTTTGATAATTTAAACGTTAGTCTTTATGTGATATATTGTAAAACTATCGCCAAATTATTTCAAAACATTCAATAATTACTGCTGCGAAATACCCGTTACTTCTAAGGCGCGGAAAATCTTGGAAATCGAATAAATGAAAGCTGCCGTGCGCAAATCATTGCACAGAGCGTATTCATTGGCCACGTACTTAATGCCTTCTGCGGCAGTCTCCATAACTGTTTGCAGCCCAGCGTCTACAATATCCGCTTCCTTCGTACAGTCTCGAATAAGCTCCAACTTTTTATTCGGCGTAAATTTAGCCTAAAAACAAAAAAATTAGCAAACTATATTATTTGCATGTTGGTCAAAATCTACTACTTACGTTGCCTTCATTAATGGAGTTAAAGATCTCACTGATTATAGAGTTTTCGCGTTTCACGTTCATTTTACCATAAGAAACATGATTGATATTCTTTAAGTACTCAAAGTAAGATACCGTTACACCACCAGCATTACAATACATATCCGGTATGATGAGTACATTCTTTTTACGTAATATTTCGTCGGCAGCCGGCGTCGAAGGACCATTAGCGCCTTCCAAAATCATCTTGGCTTGTACACTGTTGGCATTTTCAGCCGTGAGAACCTTTTGTGTAGCGCAAGGCATTAGTATATCGCATTTTTCACCTAGCAGACTTCCGTTTTTTTCAGTGGCTTTCGTATAGCCCTTGATTGATTTCTTATTTTTTGCATAATAGTCCATTAAATCCTGTGTAAGTGGAAGAAATCGAAATTATGAGAATGGAAATATTAACTTTTCAACTACATATACCACATACCTTAGGATCTATGCCATTCTCATTTACAAGTGATACGTCGATTTCTTGAACACCGATCAGTTTGGCACCAGCTTCTACTACGAAAACAGATGCATAGGAACCGACATTACCGAAACCTTGCACGATCACTGTTTTATCTTTCCATCCAGTTTTCCAGCCTAATAAATTCATCCAATCTTGATCCATAATAAAACATTCAGCTGCCTTAAAGAGACCACGTCCTGTGGCGGCAGTACGGCCATTTATGCCGCCTATTGCTACTGGCTTACCAGTCGTGATGGCCAAAGCATTCACATCGTTGTAGCCTAAAGGAGGCAGATAACAAAAGAACAGATATTACATCCCTAACCAAGAGTTTTCTTATATTCAAAGTTACCAAAAGTTTTAATATACTGATCTACCAACCAACTCATCTCGCGTTCGCTGGTATTCACATCTGGTGCCGGTACATCTATACCTGGTCCTATCATGTTTCGTCGTAACAGCTCCATTGTATAGCGGCGAGTAATCGTTTGTAATTCATGTGCAGTATACTTTTTGGGGTCGATTCGAATGCCACCCTTGGAACCACCGAAAGGTACATTTACGCAAGCCGTCTTAAACGCCATCAGATAAGCTAAAGCGCGAATCTCATCGGCATCTACGTCCAAGGAGTAACGTATACCTAAAACGAACGGATGAAAGCATTTAAAAAAATCAAGCTAGATCTCACATGCTAAGGTTTTTGCAGGGAAAAAAACAAAAATTTTTTCTTACTCGTCATTAAAATTCAAAATAACTTAAGATTAGACTCCGGCAAGCTGATAAATTTGAATATCTACATATGTATATATTCCAGAAAGTTCTAAGCTTCTTGAACAAATGAGCTTTTCAAGCGATATATACTGTTTCGTAGGCCTAATTTAATCTTAGTTATTTTTGATGGCAATATAATTGAACTTACCCCCTTTGAGTGGCAATCTGTGTCTGGTATGGTGTGCTCGATAGCCGGTAATTAACTCGTAACGACCATCACTTTTTATTATAGGGAAGGTAACTTCCAATAGATTGGTGGTTGATCCGATCAATTGTAGCATGGCCGAAACACGTCGTTCACGCTGTTCCTTTTTCATGTACGGATACTTCTCCAGTTCCTTTATCATCATCGGCTCCATAAGCTGAGCCGCCGAATGATAATAGTACTCAACCATCTGTGCAAATGGTGGATCTTTGTCTTTGCGGATTTTTTCCAAATGCTTGGGAATCACATGCTTTTCGCGAATAGCCCCAACTTCCGACCAGTTCAATATTGTCTTCGATAGTGATGATTGCAATAGCTTAGCATTTAGTAGGAACGACATATTGGCATAAAACAACTTCTACCCGGAATGGTTGTTATAAAAATTGATTATTATATTAGTAGATATATATTTTTTAATATTTGGTTTTTTGTTTGATTTTTCGTTGTAAAAATACGCTTTTATTTTTATTTCGTAAAGCTTTTTTAAACTATTCTCTTTGACGAACAAAATTAATTCGCTGCGATCAAAACAACATTTCTTATGAAAATATGAAAATGAACTGAAGCATGATTCCATTATATTATATATTATTATTTCTCATCGAATGAAAGCAAGTTTTCACACATCGGCAGTATTAACTGATTTTTAACGACTAAACGTTAAAGTTGTTAGTCCATCCAGCGCGAAGTTCTGAGGTATGGCGATTGTGTGGTCACCGATTTTCGATGTTTTAAGAATTAATTAATGGAATCGAATTGTATAATTTGATTTCTCAATTCTAGATTAAAAGTGTAGACAAATAATGCACAAATCTACAAATCTAAAGATAACATAATTTTTGTAGAAAACGGTTTTTTCGTAAACCTAACCGCTTAAAAGTTATTAACGGTTGAAGTTTGACTATTTTAAGACAAATTTGTTTTTTTCTGCTCTCCCAAAATGGTCTCTTTTTTCTCTTTTATTTTTTCTTTGTTTTGTTTTTGTGTTTTCCTTTAATAGGCATTGATGTTTAACGGTGAATATTTCGTAAATGCTTAACTTAATTGAAAAATTATACAGACATTAAATTTCCTACAAAATCTATGAAACGAGATATTTCAGTTGGAAGCGAGATATGAGTTTTTCTATCTGATAATAAGATCCCGTTACAATTAAGAGCACATACTTGGAGAACCTTTTTTAGAGGTGTCTATCAACCAATTTTTCAGAGTACGAAACGTAAAAAAACACATTCGATTTTTTTTGGCCTACCCTAATACCTATACAGTGGTTCACAGTTAGAATTGTGTCGAATTCATGCTTCCAAAACATTTCTAATTTTAATTTACTTCCTGACAGCAAAATATATCCCATCCTGATATACATATGTACAAGTACTCATGATTACTCTCAACGAAAATTTAGTACATAAGCTCTAATGCTAATATAACATTTTTGTGAGATAGTTTAGGCTGAATTCAATACCTCATAATTATCAAAAAAAAAAAATATAATTTTTAGTTAAAACAATAAAACACCTTAATGTGTTATTAAACGAATGTATTGACTTTTCCAGATGCCATTAAAAAGTGATCAAGAGATTATGGAAAATTCAATGCTTGAGGAGGATCCGAATGGCAATTCGGCACTCGAACAGGTTTTCAACACAGAAAAGAATTCTCCACGTTGGGGACCACAACATAAGGGTGCACAAGAGCTTGCTAAGCTGTATGGCCCAGGTAAAAGTTCAATTTACTTTTTAATTTTCTACGACAGATATTCTTTGGTTTCGTATTTTGTAGGGAAACGTCTACAAGAGATTGTTTGCGTTTACACGTGCATCGCACTCATGCTAGTTGACCTGATACTGATCCTAAAACATATACATTTTGAAAGACTGAGTGTGGCTTGTGTGTCGGCATTGTGTGGTATTATAACTGCCGATTTCGGTTCCGGATTAGTCCACTGGGCAGCTGATACTTGGGGAAGCGTTGAATTACCGGTGATTGGGAAGGTTGGTTAAATTTATAAAATAAGCACACATATGAATGTATGTAGATTTATAATATGAATTAAAATTTTGCATAGAATTTTTTACGACCTTTCCGTGAACATCATCTGGATCCAACATCTATAACGCGGCATGACTTCATTGAAACCAATGGTGACAACTTTATGGTTAGCATACCCATATTGGGCTTCTTAGCATACAGCTTTAACACGAAATCACCTCAAGACATCCAGCAAGATTTTGGCTGGATATCATATTTGTTTTTGTGTTCAATATTTGTAGCTATGACAAATCAGGTGAGTTATAGTAAATATGGTGAAAATGATATACTTCTAAATCCGGCAAAAAAATAATTTTTGAGCACAAGAAAATGGAGAGTTGCTATATGCATATATTCTTCTTGCTGTTGAAGAATGCCAATTGTAGTTATAAAGGATTTAGCTCAAAGTATCTCTATTCATTGGAACGCTCGAACGAGCTGAGTTAAATTCGGGTGACTGTCTGTCCATGGCCCCATCTGTCAGTAAAAAATTTTATATCAAAGGAAATATTGATCCGATTCAACCCATTTTTGACACAAAACATACTATTATCGAAGGTTTCATTTATTTATTTTATTACAAGTATATGAATTTCAACTATATATCTTACACATTGACCGATATTTTCGGTAAAAAGTCAACTATAGGCACTGGGGTCCACATATTCAGTACTTAAGGGCTTGAACAGCTTTGGTTCGATTTAGAGAATTTTTAGTCACAAGGTGGCATACTTTAAACGTATTATTCACGCAAAGTTTTACGCCGATATAATCATTGTTGCTTGATTTGCATTGTGGAAAGTGAAAGAATCAGATGGAATTTAAAATGGTGATATATGAGAAATAGGCGTGGTTGTAATCCGATTTCGTCCATTTTCGCACTATAATATGGAAATATGAGATTAATGTTATGTATCAAATTTAGTTGAAATTGGTTTAGCAGATCCCAAGATATGGGTTTTCACCTAAAAGTGAGCGGTACCACGCCCACTGTCTAATTTTGAACGAGCTTCCTACAAAGTCATCTCATACCATCCCAGTAATAATATTTAATGGCTTTGGCATGTTTAGTGCTTGATTTATCGCTCTTTAGTAGTTTTTAACAGTACTGTTATATGGGGAGTGGGCAGGGTTGTCCCCGATTTCATCCATTTTCACACTGTCGATTAAAGTGATCAAAAATTAGTTTTCAGTGAATTTTGTTGTTATAGCTTTAGCGGTTTAGGAGATATGCACATTAAACTTAATAGGGGCGGGACCACGCCCACTTTTGTCCGATTACGCCCATCTGCAATACCAATAAATTTGTGTACCAAGTTTCATAAAGATATCTCAATTTTTACTCAAGTTACAGCTTGCACGGACAGATGGACGGGCGGACAGAACGCACCCGGAATCCAACTCGTCTCTTCATCCTGATCATTTATATATATAGGTATATAACCTATATCTAACTCGATTAGTTTTTGGTGATACATACAACCGTTACAGAGTGAACAAGCGATTATACTCTGTAGCAACAGGTTGCGGGAAAAGAGGGTGGGGACCCGGCTGCTATGAAATTTAAAGTATACGCGTATCTAACAAGCATTAATGCTAAATTGATCAAACTTGCTGAGAACACATCTTTCTAACATTCCCCCATAATTCGCGTAAGTGGATGTATTGTAGTCGGATGATAACTACGTTCCCTTCCCATATTAAATTATTAAATTTTAGCTAATTTCGATACGTCAGTTCCGTCGGAAATATTATATCGAAAATATCGGTCAATCTTTGAGACATATAGAGGAAGAAACATCTTTTCCAGATAATAGTGTGCCCTTTGTCAACTCCTGAAAATATGTCCCTGACTTTGATCTTTCAAAATCTGAGAGTATAAAATGGTTGGTTACTCCTAATTTAACTTTTCCAAACTTGTTAGTAGTATTTAGTAATTTGGTATTGAAAGTAATTTTCTTTCAAAATACCATAAATGGTTGGTTACTCCGAATTTAACTTTTCCAAACTTGTTAGTAGTATTTAGTAATTTGGTATTGAAAGTAATTTTCTTTCAAAATACAAAGTTGAGGTGCTCACTACAAAAGCGTATTTTAATACTGATTTCCAATTGACAGACAATTATAAGTCTCCGAGCATATTTATGTCATAAAAGCAGCAACGCTTTCAATGTGTTCAGAAATTCTAAATATTTATCGATTATTTTCTGTATATTACAGATTCACAAGTGGTCGCATACTTATTGGGGTCTGCCGAGATGGGTTCTTTTCTTGCAAAACTATCAATAGTATTACCACGAAAATCACCGCATACATCACGTAGCACCGCATGAGACATATTTTGCATTACTACGGGCTGGCTGAATTGGCCATTAGAAAGATTAAGTAGGTTCAATATAGATTACATCCAACTGATCTTTTTGAATTAAATTTCATTTAATTAGATTCTGGCCCACATTAGAGGCTGTAATTGAGTATTGTACAGGCTGCAAGGCACGCGATGATGACCTCAAGTGGGCAAAAAGATGACATAACTGTATTGGGACAAAGCTGAGAAATGGGCTTTAATTCTCGAGATCCTCACAAACTAGTCGATACCATACATACAAATGTACGTATGCACGGTATGTGTGTACACGTGCGGATGTTTCTGCAAATGACACACAAAAATTGTATGTACAAATGTTGAATAAACAAGTCGCATTAGTTTGCCCATACTAATTAGAATTTTTAAGATTTCTCAAAATTCATACAAAAACATACATATACATACATGCGTACATTCATAAAATTAATACACAAACACAACACACAGTATGTTGAGCGAAAGTGCAACAACAACTTAACATCAAATATCACAAGCAATTAAATAATTTAAGTGAACACTCTAGGAGAGTTAGGAAGCTTTTTACAAATATACACCACATAGCGCATAATTAGAAGAAAATATCATTTTAAATCATTTAAATTTAAGCTTTTATAGATAATACAATTATTAAACTGCTTAAATAACAACTATCGGTCAATTCTTTAGAAACAAACAAATTAAAAACGATAAATTAATTTTACTTTAAAATATAACAAATTAGACACATAGCAGAGCTATATGTGTGACATGTAATATATGCTTTAAACTTTATTATTTATAATTTCTAAGCCAAGCCATTTTAATACTATTATAATGCATCACTCAATACAGTGCAGTTTTAACAATAAACCTAATTTTAAAACCAAACATTTTAATTGAAAACAATTAATAATATTATTCAATGTGCTGTTATGAAGTTATATTATTTAATGGCCCGATTACGGTTTGCAACTCAACTGTATTTTAGTTGAAGTTTTGATATCGCTATTATGAATATCAAGTTAAATCGTGAAAAATCACTTTTATCGATTTTCAATTTTTTTTGATATAACTGTTTGATGTGTCAGTGCGGTTGGCTGAAATACTAAAACCTACAACGGTTGCCAAGCAGTTGTAAAAATAAACTAATAAAAATAATTTTATATTAAATATTTTTAATTAGTTACATATTACATACAAAAATACATTATAAATATTCATTTAAAATTCATGGAAAGAATGCGCAGCACATCAGTTCTGACTCGCACATTTTCCTCATTGCAATATCAATCAAAACATATGTTTTTATTGTTTATTTACTCTTTCGTGAGCAATAACTGAATTGAATTATTTTAGTTTTTCGTTTAAAATTTTCAGCAGTTTAATTATAAGCCAAATCTCAATTTTTAGGTTGACAACATCAATTAGTTGTAGTTCGTAAACCTCTTCTTTACTGCCGTGGAGTTCATAATAACAAATAAAGTTTTTAGTTGTTCTGAATTGCTTTAACTTTAATTCAACTGAATTCAAACCGTAATAGGGGTATAAGTCAAAGGCATAAGCTGCGATTAAATTGGCTTGGTTTCATAACTTACACCGCATTAAAATGAAATAACGTATGTATTATACGATTAAAAAAAATGTACCATAGAATTGTAATCACAAAACTTTCGTTATTAGTCTAATTTTTATAATCACTAAGTTTGCTAGTATGTATATTCAACTTGCTGACAACAATCACACTGGTCTACAGTGGTTTTGTTGTCCTGGTATGCATAAGATCGATTTTGGATATATAATATTTATGCCCGCAGTTCATGAACTATTAAGATTTTGTAAGATTGGCTCTCGTTTAAGCAGCATTAACATCGCAGTAAACAGAGATACAAATGTCGAAAACATATGTTCTATTTCAATAAAACCCTTTAATGAGCTTTTTTTATAATTTTCCAGTAAACAGAGATACAAATGTCGAAAACATATGTTCTATTTCAATAAAACCCTTTAATGAACTTTCTTTTATAATTTTCCACTCGACAATACCTGCTTACGGACCAACAGTAATCTACCATCATATGACGATCCCATCAACCTTGGTTCCTTTCTTCAAGCACTTTTAGATCTTGGTGGAACCACTCTCCGTTTTTTCACTATAATTTCCTAAATTATCCGATAATTTACCTAGATGAATCGGGAGATAGTCTAACTTAATACTTATATATGCTCGTAGAGTATGAAATTTGTAAGCATATTTGGCACAATTTCTTCATAATTTGGTACTTAATGGTTACTTAGGAATCTTCGAATATCAACATAAACCTTTCCACGATTCTGTTTTCAGAACAGTCAAAACTTTGATAACATTTTTATCTTGCTTTAATTGCAGTATCAAATATTCCTTTCAACATACTAAGCTTCGGGCATTTTCTAGAAATGTAATTACAATAATATTCTTTCACGTCAAAATCTTTGAAAAATATTTTATCATGTTCAACTTGATCACGTATTAAAGCACAGAGCTCATTTTGAGAAAATAATTTTGGTAGATCTGGGTATTTGGAGAAAATAGTGTTTTTGAGAAGTACATGTGAATTACTTTTGAAATGAGAGCGACATTTTCATTGAATAAAACAGGACATTTTATAGATTGCAATTCTAGATACCTTCACGTTTGACTTTTTAACTTTTTAAAACTTCCGCATATATTTTTATTTTCGGTTACTGCGGAACCTGGGAGTGGGGATCACGTGATGTTTGTATGCGAGAAAGGTGCACAGAACTCTAATCATGACTGGTAGCATAAATTTATATTGATAATTGATAACTTTATACCGATAATTGATTGAAATATTGGGTAACCATTACAACAAAAGCAATTTTATTACTTTCATGAATAAATTCTAATAATAATCTGGGCATTTAAAACATTAAAATTTGCTAACATATCCAGGGCAACCCAAAAATTTGTAGAGCTGTGTTATTACAATTGTAGTAACATATTGCTGTAATCGTTGAAATGGTACTGGCAATCCATTTTTAACTTGCTGATTGCTTTTATCTTTTCAAGAAATCAATAATATATGTTCTAGGAATATTTAAAGTTTGGTAATGCACATTCACCTTATGTACTAATCACTGTTATTTAGTTAAAATTTGTAATAAGTGTATATCCATTTCATGCTAATCTGTAATAGTAATTAAATTTTTCTAGTAATTCGCAAAACAATTAATAACAATTCATGTACGGTGTTCTAATTTATATATTTCACAAAATTTTATTAACTTTCCATCATTTAAAGTATTATGAAATGAATGCGGAGGTGCATGTCGTGTGAATGATCCTTATTGAAATGTCTACCAAAGCCTTAGTGAATGTATGGGCTGTCTTAAGACTACTTACTTAAAAGCAAATGATCTTTAATGGGTTTAGGTGTAGTTAGAGACAGAAAAAAATGAAAATTTTAAATATTTTTTGGCAGTAAATTATTTTCTTCTATAAAGTAAAAACATTGCATCATTCGATCTAATTTAATATAAATTTAAAACAAAATTAATCATTTGAAAAGTAAAGATTGTTTTGATCCCGTTCCAACCGAAGCTCCTTACGGTGGCCATCACTAATCCTTGAGATTTTATCTAAAATCAATCAGACAAAAAAAAATGTATTTTATTATTAGATAATCTAGTGCCTGATCGAAGATTTTTAATTTTCAGAAAATTGTTTCAAGATTTTCGGAAAAATCCAACAGTTAATGATTTATAAAAATTAAAATTAAACTGCACTAGTTTTTCATTTTTCAAATTAAATTAAATCAATTAAATTTGATTGAAGTCTACCGAGCGATTTTCGAGCTACAGTGATCACCAGTTAAAAACATATTGCATTTAAAGCTTTACACTTGATTTACGTAAAGTAAATAATAAATTATTTTCCAAAGCGCCCGAAATCCCTTTGCTAATTATCGATTAACTCGATAAGTATTTGTCGGATTTACTTCAAATTTTCAGGAATATTTCTAAGATTCTACTTTAAGAGAAAGAAAAATTGATTTCATAAAAATTCCGACTACCCTAAACTAATTTGAACATAATTTAATGGGATTTCACTTATATCCAATATGATATTCAATGGATATTATATTCAATATACGGTACTTCTAAAATAAAACAATTTCTCAATTCTACCGCAGTAAGTTTTTAATGTTTAAAGTTTGGCTTTGAGTGACATTTTAATTGCGAATTTAAAATTTTAAATTACGTCAACATTCATTTATACACAAATTGTATATGCTTTTCTTAAGATATTAAAAAATATTAAATTTAAATCTAAGGAATACAATTTAAAATTTTTAATAAGCGCATTTTATGTGCACTTTTTACGCTTATGCCATTTATTTCTTTAATGGAAACATCTACCAAAACCAAAGCTTTAATATAAAATAATTATAATTCATAAAAAACGTAAGTGACTTACATTTTGCCTTAACAAAAGAAATATGAGAAGAAACATTACAAATCATAATTAATAATATTGTATAATATAAGGCCAACTTATGCTTTAATTATAATTCAAATCTTAAGATTGTAATTAAGTCTGTTAAGTGGCTAAAAACAAGCAAATATAAAAACAATCTAAACTTCGTCATGAATTGTACGAGTACGTTTTATAGAGTGCACCCTTTTAACAAACATATGTATGTACAAATATGTACGAATACCTATATAAGTTGATTATTATACGATTACTTATATCCATTTGTAAACAACTTTATTCTGAAGCAATTTTGTATTTGTTTGCAAGTAATAAAGCAATATTCATTGTGATTATGGCTAGCCATATGCGTGTTTATTTTGTCGACTTATTTAAATAAGATAATGAATTGCAAGTGTTAGGCATTTAGTATAGTATTTTAAAATGCTATTTTCATATATATCAAAATAAAAATTGCTCAGTCGGTAATATGGATCTATTTGGCAAGCATTTATTTCGAAATAATAATGGCAAATATGGCAGGGTTACGGAGAGATGACGAACTGGCGTGACACTTCAAAATTAAAACTATTGAGGAAATTAATTACGTTACGTAATATACATATACACAAAGATATGTATGTTTTTATGAGCATTTTGAAATATATTCAATACCTATGTACATATGTATATGTCATAACCAAAAAGTATTATCCATAATATAAATAAGGAAACATTTTAATAAAACAAGAAAAACCGTTAGTTTCAGTTGCACCGAAACTTTAATACACTTTACAGATTCCATACAAGAATCAAGAATATAATTGAAGACAAGATTGCATGATTATTCATCTGACGTCATTCTTATAGGAATTGGAAGAGGAAGCAAATAAAAACTCTCATAAAGCATGTAAATTGTAAACAAAAGGTAGTGTTTGTATACTTTCAACAGAAAATACTTCTGCTTACAACAAACAAACCGGAAATGGTTTACGCCATTTAGCGGGTGCACAAACCCGAAGTAAAGCAATTATTGCATTGTTGTTGTTATACGCCGCCAGGCGCACAAGGAAAAGAAATATATATGTATACGTGTTTTGAAAACAAACTCAAAAGGAAAGCAAAAATTATATTTATATGGTACATACATACATATATGTATGGTATCTATGTTTTTTCAGCAGAAAATATTTTCACATAAAAAAATTATGTGAATTATAATATTACACTGCTTATATCAAAGGAAATACCACTTAGTTGCAGTTGCATGTTGATCTGCATAGATGCATTTGTGTATATATGTACATATGCATATGCATATTTAGG